GAGTACGCGGGGTACAAACCTCCTGCGCTCGGCTTCCTCTGCAGGGCGAAACCTCCCACCGGCGCGGTTTTGTCCAAATTCCCCGCCGTCAGGGTCCTCCCGGAGAACATCCGCCGGAAGAAATCCGTGTGCGGCTCCATCCCGAGGAAAGCCTCGCAGACGGTGACGAAGTCGGTGATGTGTAGCACCCCATCGGATTGAGGTGCTGCAGCTCCAGACCCCACTCATTGAGGAGCCCACGCAAGAACCAGTGCGCGGGGTATCTCAACCCACGCTCATGGAAGGTGAGGAAGGACACCACCTCGTCAGCCCGAGACTACAGAAACTCCTCCCTCTTGGGAACCCTCCAGTACGCCACCTCCCGCGGCGGCAGAAACCCCTTCTTGACGAAGGCCTCCAACACCGACTTCCTCACGGTGGACGACCTCTAGACCGACATTGCACTCCAAGGATTGGTGAGTTCTTCTCTTCTCACTCTCTCCCCTTTCTCTCCTAGAAACCACCGCGGCTCTCAGGAACGCTCACTGTAAGAAGGGAGAAGAAAGGCGGCGGTAGATGAAGAACTAGCTAAAGAACGGGGCAAAAAAAACCTCTCCCTCCTCCTACTTAAAGGAAAAGGGAATAGCAGTCAGGGAAGGGCACACCGATCGGGGAAGGTGGAACGACAGAGCAAAAAATCCTCTCTCTTTCCCATTTAATGCAAATAAGACACGCCCTGACTGATGAGACGTGCCCTGCGCGATGGAACGGCTCCTGATCAGAAGGGACGTGGCCCGGCCATGGCCCACCACTACCGCACGAAGGGCACAGGAACCAAAGCGCCATCGCACGTAGACGGCTCCCCGCTTCCCCAGGCCAGACCTAGAGAAATCCAAAGCGAAATCCTCCGCTGGAAGAAACCATCCGAACCCCTGAGTCGATCGAATCACTCAGGATACACACTGAGACACAGGTAGGAAGCGAAGGGAAGCCCCATGTGGGCCATGCCGACTTCGTCATGAACGACGAGCACGGGTCCCGGTCGGACATTTTCCGACTGAAGCTCTCCGAGCCCCGTCACTCCAGTTGTCAAGGTAAGCACTACCGAACCCCTCTATTTCCTTATAAATCATTTCATACATCCATACGCGCATTCATTCCATATGCCCGCGCCTCCCGGACGATTTGGGCCCTGAACCGCCCGGGGGCTCGGGAACTAAGCATCGCACGTGCAGCGAAATGCATCACAACGCTCCGTGTTGCATCACGAAGCGGCGGTTGCCTCATTTGACATGAGGAGCCAACAGAGCCAGGGGAGAAAACCGTAGATGAGCCCCATGCGGCCCTCGCCCGGTCTAGCAGACCGGGTCATATCAACCTTCTCGTTCGATCTTGAACCTCGCCAAGCCCACAAAATCTCCATCGAGGGGAGGCCATTAGGCCACTCGGGTCGGTCTCTGGAACGACCCAGGCATCTGCCGGGTTGCAGGTAAAGGAGTAGTGGAATGTCACAAGAGGGCTATGCCGACCCCATCACGGACGACGAACCTGGATTCCGCTCGATCACGCCCGTTAGCGAACTCACTGAGTGCGTCACTCAAGCCCGAGCGATTGGGACAGGCGACAAAACTCAGCCCCTCCAGTTGTGAGGAACCGAGGATGGGGTAAACACACATAACTCACACCGACCCCTACTAAAGCCCAACAAAGCTCGAGGGCTCAAGACACAAAATGCCCGGGTTTGCGACCCTGATCTTGCCCCATCCGGCTACGCTTCCGACTGCGCTCCAAACACCTGGGTCTGCGATCCCGATCTCGCCCCATCCAGCTACGCTTTCGACTGCGCTTCAAGGACACCTGGGTCTACGACCCCGATCTTGCCCCATCCGGCTACGCTTTCGACTGCACACCAAGCTCCTGGGACCACGACCCCGAACTCGCCTCGTCAGGATCCACAAGCTCCGGCTCGTCCGATCCCAAAAACTAACTAAAACTAGGTACCTCGGCTGCCCAGGCTATGCCGAGGCCAGGATCCACGACTCCGACCCGCCCGGTCCCACGGCGCGCACTGACGCTAGGGTCCATTCGCGACTCCGACTCGCCCGATCCCACGGCGCACAACGACGCTAGGACAGGTGAGCTCAGTCATGCCCAAACTAAACCTCCTCGCCCGGTCCTGCGGCGCGCATCGACTCCAGAATCAGTCAGTTCTGTCTCAAAATCCAATCCCCACGCCTAACCACCTCGGCTGCACAGCGACGCCTTCGTGACAAAATTCGGTCTCGAACACACACACGCCCGCTAAAACCGAACATCCCCCAGACAGTTCTGCCCGAACCGCCCGGGGGCTCGGGGGCTACACCCGTGGGTGCGCTCGCTCGCACCCGCCGACATAACAGAAAAACCTCCTCCGCTGACAACATGAAAAAACCCCCAGCCTGTTCTGCCCGAACCACCCGGGGGCTCGGGGGCTACACCCGCGGGTGCGCTCACGCGCACCCACCGGTAAGGCAAAAATCCCCCGGACAATTCCGCCCGAATCACCCGGGGGCTCAGGGGCTCCTGTCGGGTTCATAAACCCGGGGTCCCTCGGGGACCAGCTTCCGCGCCAAGGCTCGGCCCAAGGAGACAACATATCACTCGTGGGCCAGCCCAAGGGTCCAGGACAACATGCCGAAAGGGTGGTCCAGTCACCGATCGGAAGGTCTGGCCGAAGAGGAACATCGCCCGCTCGTCGACTACTTCGGCCCACCTCTTCGATCGGAGCACTCGCTTCGGACTCCAGCCGCCTCCGGACGGCCTCTCCGATCGGAAGGCCTGGCCCAAAGTACTACTTCCGACTCCGACCCCGCGTCTCCGACCGGGGTACACAGAAACCCTGCTCACCGCTCTTATCCGACTAGCGCGACCAGGGCCGACTGGAGCCGTCCGACCGGGGACGCCCGCTCGGAAGGAACTAGGGGACGAACAGAAAAGGCAAGCTAGGGCGCACAAATCAAAACACGCTACCAGGGACCATGCCCTGAGCACCTGCGGGAACAGTACTCTACAACCGTCCTAACACAAACAGTATTGTAGGCACCGATATTTACCTCTACAGTGTTATGGGCGCCGTTAAAACTCCCATACGGTAAGGCCCCCCACATGCCTCTGGGCATCGATAGTGTTGTGGGCGCCGGGATTTACCGTACCAGGTGAACGTGGTGAAACTCCTCACATGCCTCTAGACATCAACAATATTTTTGCAGGTACCGACATCTACCATTTCTGGAGAAGGCAACGCAACCTCCCGCGTGTATCTAACACTCTACAGTGACAACCAACAGTGTTGTAGGCGCATACTATTATCTTGTACCCACCGGCATGGGCGACAAAACCCAATAGCATACGTACCCTCATCCCCTTACTCGTAAAGCCATCTCTTTTATCTATAAAAGGGGATGCGCTCCTTCCAACAAAGGGGTCTCTCTTTAGTCCTTTCAAGTAAACAACCACCATCGATCAAGTTCATCAGCTCACAACCACAGAACTTTCGGGTTCATACCCCAAGCACGCGCTTGAACACTTAGCTCATAGCGTAGCTCCTGTCGCTCTTGGCCCTTCCGACCGGACCTCTTCTATACCCTATCTTTCTCCTTCTCGTCTGTAACCCCACTGTAAACTTCGAGCACCTGGGCTCAGGATTAAAGTCACCAACCGAATCAACTGGACGTAGGGCACGTTGTCTGAACAAGTATAAACCATGTGTCATTGAGTGCTAGGCCACCTCCGATCACAACGTACGACAAAATTACAAATATTTACTAGTTGATCATATTCTGCACCGACAGTACTTCTCAAGTATCTATGTATATGAGCATCTAGTATTTAAGTCTGTGAACTAAACAAGCTACTAAAAACTATTTATAGTTAAGGTTTTAAAAGTTTGACTCAAACTTAGTCCAAAAGATGAAGTGTATGCAGCAACAACGCAAATGAAATAATCCTACTCCACGTAGATATTTTCTTTGCTACGTGCTTAGAACTCGGTTTGGTGAAGCGATACTATACCATCAAATTATTCGATGGTCCTGTCTTTTATAAAACTTATTAGGGCATCTTTAGAACAGGAGCAAAGAGGAATAAAAAACATAGATATCCGAAAAAAAATTAGCATAAAGTGAAAACTAATGAATCTAACATAGAGGAATGCCTGAAGTTTGCTCTTTTGATTTGCGCGAAAATTTGAATGCTCATGTTCCAAACGCTCTCATGTGATTTCTTTTTGGAGGAAGGAAAAACCTCCAAAATTCACGTGAAAAAAAAATTACCGTCCCAAATATGTCCACAAATGTGTGTTCCATTTCCATACATGCGCCAGAATTTGCACTCGTCTCGATGCTGGCGGCGGCGCGTCGCCAATACGCGGCGCGGAGGTGGAGCCGTGTGTCCGCCCGCGTGGCGTCCACTCTCCCTACACGTTTTGGCGTCCTCATCGCCTTCCCGGGAATCTCCTCCAGCTACTGCCCCTCCCCTTCCCTTCGCTCCCTTTCCCCAAGCACTGCTACTAGTACTAGTACTAGCATCGCTTCAGGTCTCCGCCAAGCGCAGACACGGCAGTAGCAGCACGAACTGGCGATCTCCGCCGCGTCCAACCTCCTCCTCCGGTGATCGCCGGACGGGCGTGGAACCAGCGGAGCGCAGCCCACCTCCTTCCGCTGGTAAGCGTCACGCCCGCCCGCTCCTCCCTCCCTCCGAAGCTCCACCCCGCGGGCCCGGGCCCCCTGGTCGCTGCGCCCGGATGTGTGCGCCATCTGCTCGACGAAACGCCGCTCCGCTTAGGAACATGCTTGTTTGCTGCTTCTCGCTCAATTTCGCTCGCTTCCTCTCTCTCGATGCGGCTTGGGGCTTTGCTGCGGAGCTAGTTAACCAGCAGAGCTAGATGGCAGATGCAGATCGCTTGCTCCTCTATCGTTTGACTTTTGGAGTCACCATTTCTGTTTGGTTTGTTTGCCTCTGTGTGTGACAGCTGCAGATTCTCGATGGATATGGATGGGGTTCTGCAAGCCGCGGATGCCAAGGACTGGGTTTACAAGGGGGAAGGCGCCGCGAATCTCATCCTCAGCTACACCGGCTCGTCCCCTTCCATGGTATGCGCCGAGTAGGTTCTTAGTGTGACCGCATCGATCACTTGGCTTGCTGTGAGTTTAGGGGCTTCATGTGATTCACGAGTGGGCCATTCCAGCCCCAGATCCAGTACCCTGTCTAGCAAGTGATGAAACATGGATCAGGGCGTTCACGTGATAGCTTGAAAATTAAGCACATGTTGCTTTTCCATGATTGTGCATTTTGTGACGATGCATGTGTTTTTCCTGAATACTATGATGGATATGTTTGGAGGAAGCATTGTTTCACTGTGATGATAATGATGTTACTTTCACTTGTTTTCAGCTTGGCAAGGTACTGCGGGTCAAGAAGGTTCTAAAAGACAAGTCGCAGCCGGCACCAAGTTGTTTGGTCTTCTCAAGTCATGAGAAACTCCTGTGGGGCCATATCTCAGAATTGGTTGAGTCTGTCAAGCAAGATTGCTTGGCTCAAGCATATGCAGTGCATGTTATGAGCCAACATCTGGGTGCCAATCATGTTGATGGTGGGGTATGGTTCAGATTCAGTTCATTTATGTCCTGTTATTGTGATTTACTTGGGTATTGTTCACTTCTAGAAGAAATTGGAGATTTGCGATCATTTCCTTATAATCACCATCACCCTACTGAAATAGAAATAACATGTCATCAATGTGCATACTATTGAATTTTGACACGAATATGCTTCATTTCATCGTCTGTTGCTAATTCCAGTAGGCACTACTCTTTGGATCTGCATGACTAGACAAAGAAATCATGTTATCTTTCCACGATGCAGGTTCGTGTACGTGTTTCTAGGGATTTTCTGGAGCTTGTTGAAAAGAATGTTCTTAGCAGTCGTCCTGCTTGGAGAGTAAATGCAAGTTCAATTGATAACACTGCGGATGCTGCTCTTCTAATACCAGACCACTCGTTATTTTCTGGTACACACTTACATATATTGATACAATCTCCATCCCTCCTCTTACCATAATCTGAATCTTGTTAGTTAAGGTTAAAAAATATGATTGATTAAGCAAGGTCCAGAGCTGTATTAATTTCTCATGCACCGATGTTTTGATGGAACATTTGCAGCAAGGCTGTTGCTTAACTTTTTTCTATTTGCATTGGACGAACAGTCGGCTTCTTTGTCTATAAAGATCTTCCAATTTGCAGTTCTTATAGGTTTAAATTTGCAACTGTCATTTACAACAGCCCACTGGGTAGCATCAAGATGGGTAGAAACTGGCTTGTTTTCTCATTGATTTATAACTTAAATTCTTGGTTAAACTACTAGAACATGGTTGGTGTCTTCAAATGCTGCTGATCCTGAAGCCATAACCTGAAATCATTGTAGTTTGATAGTTTCCTCTTAGTCCTTTAGATATTTCCAGAACTCTATATAGATTGAATGTATGTTTGCTTACTAAATCTTTCTTAATCTCAGGTAATCCTAAGGGTAGCAGCTGCATAGCTGTAGAGATAAAGGTACTTTGCAAGCTTCCTCTTTTATTCTTATTTTTCATTTCTGATGTGTATTTCACCTTCACCATTTGACTTCTTTTTGGCTTGCTTTACCTTGCAGGCCAAATGTGGGTTTCTGCCATCATCAGAATATATATCAGAAGATAATTCTATCAAGAAACAAGTAACGAGATATAAGATGCATCAGCACCTCAAATTTCATCAGGGTGAGGTATGTAGATTGGAATGCTTGATCCAAGATAGAATTCCCCTCTCTTTTGCACACTTAAAAAAAACATCCATCGATGATACAAATTTTATGACAATACCGTAAGGCTTTTCTTGTTATTTATGGCACTCTTGTAATACTACACCATCTCTTTTGCTTTTTGACATCAGGTTGATTCCCAATACATTCTTGCACACATTTCAGATATCGAAGACTAGTGAATACAATCCTCTTGATCTATTTTCTGAGTCAAAAGAAAGAATACGCATGGCCATCAAGTCATTTTTCTCAACTCCTCAGAACAACTTCAGGATTTTTGTCAATGGATCCTTAGCTTTTGGTGGCATGGGAGGTGGTACAGATAGTGTTCATCCTGCTGACACTGATAAGTGTATTGAAGATCTCAGCAAGGTTAGTGGCCTAGAACTCCCTGACTTCACTGAGCTCCTGTCAGAGACAATTTTTAAATCTGGGGTATTAGGCAAACTGTTGACCACTCAAAAGCTGGACTATCATGACATTGAAGGGGCAATTCATCTGTACTACAACATAATTTCTCAGCCTTGTTTGGTCTGCAAAAACCTAACTGATGTAGAGCTATTGCGGAAGTACACTCTCTTGCATTCTCTTCCGTTGGACAAGAGCCTGAAGATTGTCAGGGACTTCCTCATTTCTGCTACTGCAAAGGACTGTAGCCTGATGATCAGCTTTCGGCCAAGAGAGAATGGAAGTACAGATTCTGAGTATGATTCAGTGTTTCTTGAATCAGTGAAGCGAACCTATGAGTACAAGGTATGCTACTGTGAAATCTAGTGTTGTTGTACCTTCTAGTCGTCCAGCTCTCCAGCCACAAAACTAGCTATATAGTTCACAACTGAGTTTGTTTGTGAATTTATTTCTTTGCTTATTTTTTTTCGGGATAAATGGTGTTAAACTGCACATTCCTTTTGCAGGCATATTTCGTTGATCTGGATGTGAAACCTCTGGTTAAGATGGAACATTATTTTAAACTGGATCAGAAGATAGTCAATTTCTACACAAGTAATGGGGAGGTCTTGCCATCTCCAAAGAGCAGTAATACAAAAGACACCTCACCGATTCAGCTCCAACAATGAGGAGCCTCTCTTCCTATATACGTCTGGAGAAGGGTGCATCAGGGAGTGTTGGTTTTTGTTTCCTGCTGCTGTTGTTGTAACTTCATGAGTATAGTCCCAAGGTTGGGAGGCTCGATCATTACGCCTGGGAAGGGTACAGGGAGCTGTGTTGTTCGTTGTTGCTGTTGTAACTCTACTTGTGCATACACCGTGGCTTGTCACAGCTATTTCCGAAGATGTCCAATGTTAGTTGAGACAGCTGAACTGCTTACCGTGGCAACCACTCATTGTAACATCAAGTTGAAAAATGAGGGCTGAAGTTTCCCTCGCACTCGCAAGGTACTATATGTCATGTGTACCGATTAGTTTGCCCGTGTCATGTGTCTCAGTTTGCTACTGCAGAAATGTTTGGTGAAACTTTCGTCCTCTCACCCTTTGGGCAAACCAAACCTAACTTATTAGAATTAAAATCAGTTCTAGTGGCTGGGAATCTGTATGTAGCCTAGCTGTTGGCTTCATTCGACTAAATCCTGCCTGCCGGACTTGCGATGCTGTCTGTTTTCGTTGTGATGGCTACGGCCTACAGGCCACAAGCGCCTGTCGCCGTCCAGCCATGCCTGATGACTGATGAGCTAGCTAATCGAAAGGCATGAAGTGTCTCTGGCACTGCTTGCTTATATATTGTGTTATTTCTCTGGTCAAAAACGCATGTAGCCTTTGATTCGCCAACGCCGGCAGGCGTTCGCCGTTTGCAGAACTAGTCAGGGTGGTTCAGCTTCCAGCTTCTAGACAGAGACAAATGTGGACTTCCTGTTTAAACAGTTAGTAAATGCAGCTAAACTAACCGCATACAACTGTCTATTTCGTTAGCGTATCAAAATCACGCACGTCAAAGTTGTAATTTTCTGTCACCAGCCGCCGGCCGGCCGAAATTCTTGAACACATTTTGAGTCGTTGAATAAACCATTGCAAGGACTACAGGAGTGAAATGCATGAGTTCCAGAATCTGCAATTCTGCAGACTGCAGTGTAGTAGTCGCTGAACAACGGCAAGTTAGAGGCCCAGTTGGCCGGCAATGTTATGCATTTAGCCAATGCAAAGGACAGAGCGAGCGATTGGACTTCTCCAGGAGTCCAGGCAGGGGTTGAGCTACCCAATTTGTCCCTCCAACCACCCGAAAACCAACCAGAATATCTGCAGCAGGGGAGCAAGACACCTGCCGGCCGGCACTTGCCACTTTGTCACTTGTCAGGCAAGGCCGGAGAAACTAAAACGGCGGCAAAGGGACCCGGCCGTCCGGCGTCCATGTCGAAGGTGACGGTGCTCAAGGTGGACACCTCCTGCGCCAAATGCAAGCGCAAGGTCCTGCAGGCCGTCACCGGCCTCCACGGTACGTACACGTACGAGCCCGCTTCTTCTCCGTTCGGCCATGCACGCACCATGGATCCCGGCAATGCAAAGATCGTTTTGGTGTTGACAAGGGCGCAGGTGTTGACAAGGTCGAGGTGGACTCGGAGAAGAGCACGATGACGGTGACGGGCACCGTGGACCCGGTGGACGTGATCGTGCAGGCAAGGAAGGCCGGGAGGCGCGCGTCCGTGCTCACCATCGGCCCGCCGCCCAAGCCGTCCGAGGAGAAGAAGCCCGCCGAGCAGGATAAGAAGAAGACGGAGGAGAAGAAGACGACGGCGGCGGGCGCGGAGAAGAAGGCGCCCGAGACGCCGGCCACGGTGTTCGTCCACCACGTGCCGTCGTGGCCTTCGTGCCCCAGGTACCAGTACCCGGAGAGAGTAGTGTACGAGCAGGAACCGCCGCCTTGCTCCATCATGTAATGTAACTTAACTAACTGAGCCGGATCTGACCATGGGTATACATCACTGCTTCCGCTTGCTCATTTCGAACTTGGAACAGGTACAGGAACTTTGTAAGATCTTGTTCTTGTATAGAGTTCAGAAGAAACAGTTCAGCTTACTCAAGATCAGGGTATAAACTCTGCTTGCATTTTTACGGTGTGAGACAGAGTGGCAATATATTACAGTGCAGTAATAAATAAATATTATATATGTGCCGGATCATCCGATCGAGATTCCGAGGTGAATATACAGGCATATTTTACTTCTTTTCGGATTTGGGATTGGGAATTGGGATGACGTACGAGCGAACAGATTCAGAGCTCTGGCTTTAGCTTGACCTTAACGAACGCGCTTACTAATCTTCAAATCGGGCGGACATAGAAGATAGAACCGGTACAGATTCCTATTCCTGTTTGGAGTCGTGAACGGGCTCCTGTAGGGGATACAACAGTTCAGAATTCACCAGGTATCCAAATCCAAATAGAAAGCATTGCCGAGGCATCCACGATCGATCAGGTCAGGTGTCTGGCCACCAGGAGTTCAGGAAACCACAGCACGGCACGAATAACATCGGAGGCGAAAACTCAAGGAGATGGAGGAAACTACGGCGGCCCAGGTATCTGACGACTGAATCTTGTCCCCCCGCCTGCCGCCGCGACTCTGTTACACCGTCGCTGACATCGCGATGCCGATGCCGTCAAATATCTCTACTGCCTATGTTCATCCGTCAATTCTGACATTGTCATCACAACATTATTACAGGACGAGCTTGAGAAGCACGAGGCCGACGACAGGATAAGCAGTCTCCCAGACGATATCCTCCTCCTCATCCTGAACAAGCTCCAACACGTGCATGATGCCGCGAGAACCACCGTCCTATCGAAACGATGGAGGCATCTGCTAGACCTCCGTCCCGAGATCGTACTGGACGTTGTACACTTCAACCCTAGAGACGACGACGACGACGACAGTGACGAGGAGGATTCCACAGGTACACTGCCGTCTGCTGATGCCCTGGCGCGAGCCAACGCCTCCGTTGTTGAGGCCACAAAGAGCATCCTGCGACGACGGCACCGTGGACGACACAGCATCGACCGCGCATCACGTTCTGCCTGAGGGACGAGTCCATGGACATCGTCCGCGCCGTCGACGACGCCATGGCAGCAAACCATAACATCCTCGCAGCAGAGTTCACGGTCATACCAGAGGAGCTGGACATCGACTGGAACGACGACGATGGCGTGCTCGTCAACGGGAGTTGGTTCATGCGCTTCGTCACCGCGTGTCCCCGCGCATTTGCAGGTCTTACGGGCCTGAGCTTGCACAGCGTGAGGCTCGGAGGTTCCGACACCCCTAACGTGCTCGGCACATGCAAGAAGCTGACGTTCCTTAGCCTCACAACTGTGACGCCGGGATTCGGTCTGAATTGAAAGTAGAACACTCTGAACTTGCTGAGCTGAGAATTGGCTCGTGTAACTTCGAAAGGGTTGAGCTCAAGTGGCTTCCAAGACTCACACGTTTTCTGTGGAAGGGTTGGCTTCCTTCGCACGATCCGTTGTTCTTCGGCTATGTTCCACAGCTCTGGACACTAGTCCTGAGTAATAGAGGCACGATTTGGCACAAAGGTTTCAAGCTAAGTGAGTTCCTTGGCAGTGCGGTCATAGGTGAATTGGATTTGGATTTCCAATGCGAACGGGTACGGGGTGATAAAAACTGCACTTTTTTCAACAAAACAAAAACTCAGATGTATACTTTGTTTCTTTTGTTGATGATGTTCACTCTTATGTTGCACCTGGTGTAGATTTGGATTCAGCCTGAAAGTTCAAAACGATTAGCACCTGCATTGCGGAATCTTCAGATGGTGAGCCTCCACTCCATTCATGAAGAGTGTGACCTCACTTGGACATTGTTCTTCTTAGAATCTGCACCCCTCTTAAAGGAACTAGACATACAGGTATCTGTAACGCCTTATTGCCTTTCAAAGAATCTTTTTCGTTATTTAGTTGTTCATTATTTATACATATATTCATCATTTATTTGTTGACGCAATGGAAGGGTAAATATAGTTGTTCTAGCTACTTTTTTTTGCATATAATAAAAAATAGGTTGATGTTCAGTTTTATGTTCTTTCTTCTATATATGGACAATGTTAGCCTTGTTGCTCAGATATTTGGGGTTCACGTCCAATCTGTAAGAATGACTAAGTTAACCCCCATAGTTCAAAGGAATAATATTAATTCCTACTCATCCAAGCAAAAACATCAGTAGATTCTTGTTTATAGCAAATGCAACAATCTATTATCAAGAGATGCTCTAATACCCCCGGATTCACATGTCACGAGTGTTTTTTTCTCCATGCATGCATATAGAATATGATCCATCCTCAAATTGTTCATTAATTACAATGTATCGCTTCATCGGTTCTTTCACTAAAAGGTGTTGACAAACAAAAATGTCTATTTTGTAAAGTTGTCAAAATATGGAACGGACTACACCATTACATTCCTCTCATTGAGACGGTCAAAAAACATATATGGAACGTCTAATTCGGAGTCCGGATGAAGAAGTTATGCCCCCGAAAAGATGCTCCGTTGTTGGAAGTTCCGACGTGGGTCGAGACTTCCGGAAAGCATGAAGAAACCTGCTCAGGTGTCTGGAGTTATCCTCACGTCGGGAGTTCCGACAAAGGTTAGAAGTTTCGACTGTTGTGAGTTCCGACACAAGTCCGACAGTCGGAACTTTCGACATACCTAATAAAAAGGCCTGTTCGGATTTAGCCTTTTGGATTCCGATCTGAACTATTCCAAACCCGTGTAAAACTTAGAAAATAAGTCTTGGAGAGGTTTTCTACTGGGATAAGACCACCCCCTCTATATATATGAGAGGATCATGGCCGATTGAGTTCTCATCTATCCAATCGACAAACAAATCAATCTACTACCTCTACTCCAACCCTTTTACTCTCTCCTCCAACCCCCATGCTGTTCATCTCTTGATCCGACGACCAAGGATAGCGCCCTATGCTTGCTGGCCGACCTAGGGCAACCCGGCGATGTCCTTGCCCTGATGGGGTCCCTCCCGGACGAGAGCTTCGATGGTTTCTTTGCTAGTTTGCCTGAAAACTAGTCGGTTCTTCGTCACGCAAGCACGTTAGTTATCCTTTGGTGGTTTGCTTACAAACCTCTCCGTTCTTCACCATGAAAGAGTGACATTCTTGCTGTGTTCTTCGATCCGTAGCAGCCCGAGCGTCCAATGCCCTTGTTGGTGTTTGATTCAGATCGCTTCCGACGTCAACACACTTTTTGGTGACTCCGCTAGGGAATAATTTGCTTCGGCTCTACTTTATATAGTCGAATCTCTTTGCCCTAGCCCTGTTCTTTATTGATCTACCTTCTTGTGCTCGCCATTACCGTTGCATCTGGCCCAAAAGACCGATCGCATCTGGTTTTGACTCCCTTGTGACTTCATTTATAATTTTGCAACGTGTTGCGCTTACTATTGGAAAATTCAGCAAGGCGGTCAAGTTCGAAATCATGGAGTACCAAGGTGGTTCATCACAAAACTACTACAATTATCCCAAGGTACAACTTACAAATACATCTTATGATCCCAATAATTATTTTGCAAGTTCTATGAGCTCTCACGTTGGTGTTGCTAACTGTAATGATAATAGATATGTTGCATCGACTGAAACTTTTGATAATGTTCCTCATAATACACATCATGATTATGAATATTATGGTCAAGAGCTGATGTCAATTGTAAATTCTTTGAATTTTGATGCTACTAGCAACATACAACATGTAAATCCTTATTCATCGGCTATAAGTTCATAATATGTGGTTTCTCCACAAGACATGCTGATGAATGAGAGAATTGGCTATAACAATGCTAATTATTTAGCCAATTGCTCTTAAAATTCAGCACCATATGCCAATGCTCCTATTCATAATTCGGCTTCATGTGTTCCAACCAACTCGAGCTGAATTAATGAAAATTCAGCAAGGTACTTAGGTGCTAATACTCATGATTCGGCTTCACGTGTTACTAGTAACTATAGCCGAATCAATAAAAATTCAGCACCTTATACAAGGATCAATGCCCATAGTTTGGCTTCGCATTTTCTTTATGATCATAGCCGAATTAGTGAAATTTCAGCAAGGCATTCAAGTGCTAAAACTCGTGATTCGGCTTTATATGTTGCTCTCAAATCAAGCCGAATCAAGGAAGATTTAGCCCATACTAGAAATCCATATTGCTCCTCTAAATGGAAGGTGCCCACGTATCATAGACCATATCTATTATGCTATGATTACTTAAAAACTCCTGATGATTGGTGTGTACCTGATTTTTATGAATTTAGTGGTGAAGATAGTAAGACCATTGTGGAACACATTAGTATATATCTCTCACAGTTGGGTTTGGCCGATAAAGAATACCATATAAGGGTGCGAAATTTTATTTTATCTCTTACTGGTATTGCTTTTGCATGGTTTACATCTTTGCCCCGATGTAGTATTGGTTCATGGTCTCAATTAGAGGAGCAATTCTATGAATATTTTGGAAAGACTAATGAGAAAAAGCCGATCACAGTTGAATCATCGGCTAAAAAAAGATTGTTAGTGGGCATGAAAGAAAGAATTGATTTGGATATAAGCAAAAGTTTGGCTACAAAAGCCAAACAACATAATATCCTTTCCGAATCAATCACATCTCAAAAAAAGTCTTGCTACAGAGAACCATGAGAAACGTAAGAAAATAGCTAGACTTGATTTTTTAGAGTTAAGGGGGTTATACACTTATCTAGTGATTACCGCATCATTGACGGAGATCAAGCCCCTACAAGCAACAAAGGATGGCTTCCTGCCTGCTCAAAATTGGCTTAGCCGACTTCAAAGTTGGCTAAGCCGATTACTGCTTGCTCTGAGTCGGCTAGGCCGATTGCCTCTATTGCCTGCCTTGAGTCGGCTAGGCCGCCT